TGTTTTTTTTTTTTTTTTTTGGTCGGTCGTGGGGGCTGAACTCTGGGCCTGGGCGCTGTGCCTCAGCTCTTCAGCTCAAGGCTAGTGTTCTACCACTTGAGCCACAGCACCACTTGGGCTTTTTTCTGCTTATGTAGTGCTGAGGAATCGAACCCAGAGCCCATGCATGAGAGGCAAGCACTCCACCACTGAGCCACCTTCCTAACCCTAATTGCTTTGCAAGTATAGAGTTTATGCAGGAGAAAGTGTATGTGAAAAATATATACTCCGGAGTTTAGGAAAGCAGATTTCCTTTATTCAAAGATTTCAAAGAGATCCTAGGAAATTGGGGTGTGAGCTATGGTCAGAGATGTAAAAGGAAGAGAATAGCTTAGGAGGGACAAGATGCTTTCTTGGTGTAGTGTTTTACAACCATAATTCCAGCTACTTACAAGGTAGATATTGGGAAGATGATGGTTCCAAGCCACCCCTGGCAAAGAAGTTAGTAAGACCCCATAATAATGAACCAAGCTGGGCATGATGGTGCATACTTTGTGATCCAGCAAGAAGGAGGGTGTAGGTCGGAGGATTGCATTGGAGGCAATCCTGGGGGGTGAGGTGGGGGAAGCACTCTACTGAAAAATAGCCTAAAGCAAAGAGGGTTGGAGGTATGGCTCAAGTGGCATAGTGCTTTGCAATCACAAGGCCCTGAACTCTTAACCTCCCTTAAAAATTAAGAAATATTCTCACAGCATGTTTATACATTAAATAGGAAAAAATAAAAGTGAGTAAGAGAAGGGACTATAAGAATAATAGAGGGGGTGAGTAAAAAAATTATCATGTTTATAAACAGGACAAGGCTGGCAGATATAACAAAATATAGAATGAAAATAGTATTACATCAAAACTAGCAAGTTGAAACTCAATTGGGATAAAAAGTAAAACCTTAACAACTATAGGACCGGATGCCTTCTATGATATTATCTACAGGTTTTAATTGTTTACACCCCTCATCATGTTATAAGTATAATTCCAAAAAAGAAATATGCTCATTGAAAGCATGTTTAGTGCCCAAGGCAAAGAGGTCATAAATATTCACACTTCTCTGTTCAGAAGCATACTGTACATGTTCCTAAAGAGGATAATCAATCTGGGCACCAGTTGCTCACTCCTGTAATCCTAGCTTCTCAGAAAGCTGAGATCTGAGGATAGTGGTTCAAAGCCAACAGGGGCAGGAAAGTCCATATCTCCAATAAAGTACTCAAAAAAGCCAGAAGTGGCCCTGTGGCTTAAGTGGTAGAGTGCTCACCTTGAAAAAAAGAAGCTCAGGGACAGCGCCTAGGCCCAGAGTTCAAGCCCTAGGACTGACTGGAAAAAAAAAAAAGGATAATCAACATGGAAAGTAATATAGATACTGTGCCTAATTTGCCCCAGTAGAGTTGGTCAGATTTCTTCATTTCATTTTATCATGAGAATAGAGATTAATGAGAGACAAAATGGATATCTTCATGAAAGACTCATAGATGAAAGAACAGAGTGAATTCCAATGAATTATTTCAGGTGGCCTAGGGTAAAAGTTACAGGAAGACAGTTTTTGGGTTAGAAGTTGTCCAAGAAGTGTTCAGATAGACTCCTGTAGCTAATACCAGATATGTATAAATTGTATAAATGCAATGTCCTATGAAATAAGCAGTTGCAGTACAGTTTGTTTGTTGCTTGTTTTTAAGCTTTATGAGTTTGTCAAATAGAGTTGCAAGAAGATTTTATAATAACAGAGATGTTTTCTGCCTATGGAAATTTGTATAATAACAGAGATGTTTTCTGCCTATGGAAATTTGTAGAGCCAAAAGATTTTGTTGCCATTTAACAAAAAATTAAAAATAAGCGTTTCAGGGCTTCTGAAAGTCCCATAGATGTCTGGCATTTGTGTTGAGGGAGGATAAGCTGTGGTTTGAACATAAGGAATCTGCTATTACTTAAGTTCCTGTTTCAAAATGATGTTTCCCATACAGGCATCATGTCCCCGGATGATCTTAGTCAGAGTTGTGAACGTGTCTTTTAGTCTCCATGGGGATATGGGAAATGTCTGGAATGCTTGGGAATTTTAATGCTGTAAGAATTTGTTTTTACAGAACAACCAATTATGAAAGTCTTAATTCCAAATGTTAGGGGGGGAATGCCTTTTTATGGTTACTGATAGAAAAAATATTTTATTCCTCTTGCAAATAGAAGAAGAAAACAGTGCAAACAACCAAACAAAAATTTAAAAGTCAAACCTATTCTAGTCACCACTAATAGTTACTTTAATGATTTTTTTTTTTTTTTTGGTCATGGGGCTTGAACTCTGGGCCTGAGCTCTGTCCCTCACCTCTTCAGCTCAAGGCTACTGCTTTACCACTTGAGCTATAGCGTCACTTCTGGTTTTCTGGTGGTTTATTGGAGATAAAGTTTCATGGACTTTCCTGCCTGGGCTGGCTTTGAACCCAGATCCTCAGATCTCAGCCTCCTGAGTAGCTAGGATTATAGGCGTGAGCCACTGGCGCCCTGCGAATGTTGTATTTGTGTACCCAGTCAAGTACATACTGTGTAATTTTTTTTTAACCTGTGGACAAAAAAAGAGAAACTTTAATTGAAATATATTTCCTGAGTGTGACAATAATGGGAACAATTTTATGAAAGAATTTAAATTTTACTGTATCTCCTGTAAGAATACTATAAACAAAGCTATGCAGGGCTTTATGTCAAAATTTGGTTTGGTCTCTCCTTGCAAGAAGCACATAGCATTTCATGGTTTCTAAGGGCTTGTATTGTGTGTCTGTGCTAGGTCTGTGGCAGTTCAGAGGCTTGATAAAGTTTCATTCCTTGAAGCTTCCAATGTGCCTGAAGAAGCTAGATAGGCACTTTTTTTTTTTTTTTTTGGGGGGGGGGAGGGGGGGGGGGGGCGCGGCGGGGAGGGAGGGAGCCAGTCCTGGGGCTTGAATTCAAGGCCTAGGCATTGTCCCTGAACTTCTTTTTTTTTTTTGGGTCCGGTTGTGGGGCCTGAACTCTGGGCCTGGGCGCTGTCCCTCAGCTCTTCAGCTCAAGGCTAGCGCTCTACCACTTGAGCCACAGCGCCACTTCCGGCTTTTTTCTTTTTGCTTATGTGGTGCTGAGGAATCGAACCCAGGGTCTCAGGCATACAAGGCAAGCGCTCTACCACTGAGCCACCTTCCCATCTCCCTGAACTTCTTTTTGACTTGAGCCAACACCACTTCTGGCTTTTTCTGTTTTTGTGGTACTGAGGAATTGAACCCAGGGCTTCATGTGTGCTAGGCAAGTACTCTACTACTAATCCACATTCCCAGCCCAGATATGCACTTTTAAAAGTAATCAAACCACAATCAGTGCTCAAGGCCCTGGGTTCCATCCCCAGCATCACACACACACACAGAGTAAAAAAAACTAATTAAAACAATAAAGGTAACCGATGATATTAGGCAATGTTTTGAGTACAATAAGTAGCTTCTTTGTTAAGCGATGTACTGGAATTAACTGGGGAGAGAAATCTTGGGCCTATAGGTGAAGTATTCTCTTATGTAGGCCTTGTGTATAGAGGGTAAAGGGATAGAGAGCAAGTGGTTAGACTTATGGAGAGGGTACTTGGAGATGTTAGTACTCCACATATTCTGTCCAAGTGGATCAGAAGAATAGGGCAGTGTTTTAAAATAGCAGTTCTTCATAATAAGGCAAATAATGGCTGAGAGGCAACTTTAAGAATATTTAGTACTATTTTAGGGCTTAATCAGTTTTTACTTATGAGGCTTCATTCAGAGGAAACTGATTACAGAGAAGGCAAAGCCTTTTTTAACTACTAGTGCAAAATTGAACAAATCAGAAAGGGTAAATTTACAAGCCTTGTGTGTTTATATACGGCTAAGTAGGATAAGCAACTGAACTCTAGGAGTTAGGGTACCTAGCTGTTTTGTTTTTGTTTTGATTTGTGGTTTTGTGGTACTGGAGTTAGAACCTAGTACCTCGCACATACTAAACATGCACTCTACTTCCAAGGAACACCCTCAACAATCTGTAGAAATTCTGGAGGTATACATAACTTAGTTTTTTTAAAAATAAAAATAAGATTGTATTAAGGCTTACTTTTTCAACTTAACAATATTTTATGGCATTTGACTGTACAGAATGGTGTGTTCTATAGCGAATTTACTTTGCTTTTTTATTGGTGAAAAATAAAGTATGTTGCTGATCACCTTGAAGGTACAGAATTATGCCATTACTTGTGCTTTTAGACGATTTTGTTTGTTTGTTTTTGTTGGTTGTGGGGCTTGAACCCTAGGCCTAGGTGCTGTTCCTAGCTTTTCAGCTTAAGGCTAGTGCTCTACCACTTGAGCCACAGTGCCACTTCTGGCCTTTGCTGGTTATGTGGTCCTGAGGAATGGAACCCAGGGCCTCATGCATGCAAGGCAAGCACTCTACCACTCAGCCACCTTCCCAGCCCCTTGTGCCTCTAAATATTATGAGGGAACTACTGGAAAAAAAAGTCTTAATTGCTTTCTTTTTTTTTTACAGTGGTGGGATCAACAAGTTGATTTTTATACTGCTTTCCTGCATCATTTAGCACAATTGGTGCCAGAAATTTATTTTGCTGAGATGGACCCAGACTTGGAAAAGCAAGAAGAGAATGTGCAAATGTCAATATTCACTCCACTAGAATGGTACTTATTTGGAGAAGATCCAGATATTTGTTTAGAGAAATTAAAGCATAGCGGCGCATTCCAACTCTGTGGGAAGGTTTTCAAAAGTGGAGAGACAACATATTCTTGTAGGTAAGCATTAGACATTTTATGGGATTGGGTATAATTACAATCCTGGGATTTCATAGAGTAGCTCTTTATTATTATTCATAATAGATTTAATACTACTTAATTAACCTCGTATCCTATACACACTTCAAGTACGTTTTTTGCTGGAAAAGCTTGGTTTTGAATATATGACTTTCAGTTAAGCAATCTTTCATTTTTCCTTACTATTCTCCAGAAGTATTTAAATGAAAGATTTTTGCTTTGTGTGTAAAAAATATAGTCATATTATTTAAAACCTTTGGAGCCAGGTGCCTGTGGCTTATGCCTGTAATCCTAGCTACTACCCAGCAGGCTGAGATCTGAGGATCCCAGTTTGGAGCCAGCTAGAACAGACAAATCAGAGAGACTCTTATCTGACCCCAAGTAATTATCTGCTCTGCTAAAAATGTCAGCAGTGTTGAGCTTGAGACAACTTGCTGGAAATTGATTAGTAGGCCATTCATATTTTATAGGATATTATTAGGAATCTTTATGTCCTGGTAGGCTTTTAATTTTTTTGGCTATTTTATTTATTTATTGTCTGTTCTGGGGCTTGAACTTTGGGCCTGGGCACAGTCCCTCAGCTCTTAAGCTGAAGGAGAGCGCTCTACCATTTGAGCCGCAGTGCCACTTCCGGTATCCTGGTGGTTAATTGCAGGTAAGAGTCTCATGGACTTTCCTGCCCTGGCTGGCTTTGAACCATGGTCCTTAGATCTCAGCCTCCTAAGTAGCTAGGATTCCAGGCATGAGCCACTGGCGCCTGGCTTGGTTGTTTGTTAGTGCTAGGGATTACACCCAGGGCCTGGTAATTGTTAGACAGGTGTTTTTTTTTTTTTTTTTTTGGTCGGTCGTGGGGCTTGAACTCTGGGCCTGGACGTTGTCCCTCAGCTCTTCAGCTCAAGGCTAGCGCTCTAACATTTGAGCTACAGTGCCACTTCTGGTTTTCTGGTGGTTTATTGGAGATAGGAGTCTCACGGTCTCTCCTGCCCAGGCTGGCTTTGAATCGTGATCCTCAGATCTCAGCCTCCTGAGTAGCTAGGATTACAGGCGTGAGCCACCAGCGCCCGGCTTAGACAGGCATTTTTTATCACTGACTTTCACCTCCTCCTCCAAACTTCATTTTTAGAACTTCCTGATTTCATTTCTTCACTCCTTAAAATAAAAATATTTTATTTTAAAATTAAATATTATCATTGATCAAGATATATTGTACCTATAACTGATTTGTTGAATTAAAACCCCTTTTTATAGCTACATAAAGATTTAATTTTTTAAATTAAAGAATTTAATCTACTTTGCACTAATTTGTATTGTTTTAAATTTATTTTTATTTTTTTTGAGTCAGTTGTGGGGCTTGAACTCTGGGCCTGGGCACTGTCCCTCAGCTCTTCAGCTAAGGTGAGCGTTCTACCACTTGAGCCACAGGGCCACTTCCAGCTTTTTCTGTTTATGTGGTGCTGGGGAATCGAATCCAGGGCCTCATGCATTGAAGGCAAGTGCTCTACCACTGAGCTACCTTCCTAGCCCCTGTTTTTAGTGTTTCTCTGAAAATATTAAATAAAATGTTGTATGAGTTATACCAAGCACTATTGTAGGTGTTTGGGGCATATTAATGTGTAAAATAAATATTGCTTCCCCTTTACCACTTGTATTCCAGTGAATTTTGTCTTTTCCCAATAGTATATGATCACTGTTTGTAAAATATACTTATAAATGTCAATAGAATAAAGTGATGACAAATAATGGAAAAAGGATCATTTTCATGAAATTAATTTTCAGTTGTAACTTAACAGTTTGAAGCCAGGTGAAAGGTCAGCTTTATAAAGATAACTTAAACAAAGTGAACTTCTGTGTAGCTACACTCAAATGTGGCTAAAATTATGTTGGTAATCATCTCATCTTTGTTTAAAACATTAGGATAATGCTTTTTTTGTTTGTTTGTTTTTTGTTGTTGGTGGTGGTGGTCATGTGGCTTGAACTCAAGGATTTGGCACTGTCCCTGAGCTCTGTCATTCAAGGCTAGTGCTCTACCACTTGAGTCACCATGCCACTTCTGGTTTTGTGGTAGTTAGTCGGAGGTAAGAGTGTCATGGACTTTCCTGCCCAGGCTGGCTTTGAACCATGTTCCTCAGATCTCAGCCTCCTGAGTAGCTAGGATTACAGGTGTGAGCCACTAGCACTGGGCTAGGATGTTTTTTTTTGTTGTTGTTGTTGTTGCATTTTCATACTGTACTCCATACAGGACGCTCATTCACATTATAGTCACACATCAAGCCATCAGCAGGAGTCATCTAAGTTTTTGGAATCTAATTTTTGATCTTTTTCAGGGACTGTGCAATTGATCCAACATGTGTACTGTGTATGGACTGCTTCCAGAATAGTGTTCATAAAAATCATCGATACAAGGTATGAAAGTCGATCCACTCAAAATAGCTGGAATAACAAGCATTGTGTAGCCATCTAATCCAAATTCTTAACTGGTGCTTGAATTCCTGTTACATAGTTCTGATAGGTGGATTGCAGACCTCTACTTAAATATATGTAGCCAGCAGTAGTGCCTTACACTTAAAATTCTAGCTACTCAGGAGATCTGCAGATAACAGATCAAAGCCACCCCTAGCAGAAAAATCGTGGAGACTCTTCATCTCCAATTAACCAGCAAAAGCTGGACTAGAGATGTAGCTCGAGAGCATGCCCGGCATGAGTGAAAAAGCTGACTGAACATTTGACCATTACTGATGGAGTAAGACTGAATTAATAGAAGCTTTCTAAAAAATAAATATGACTAATGAACAATTCAGATGAGAAGTCACATTGGGTGCTTCAAAAGTATCAAACATTCTCTCAGGATGGGTGCTTATTATGTGTTGGACTTTGCGACTTTTCTCTATATTGTGCATATTTTGTGTGTATATATATGTGTGTGTGTGTATATATATATGTGTGTGTATGTGTATGTGTGTGTCTATATATATATATTGTATGTGTGTGTTTGGGACACACATTTTTTGGTTTTTTTTTTGCCAGTCCTGGTGCTTGAACTCAGGGCCTGGGCGCTGTCCCTGAGCTTCTTTTGCTCAAGGCTAGAGCTCTACCACTTGAGCCACAACGCCACTTCTGGCTTTTTCTGCTTATGTGGTGCTGAGGAATCGAACCCAGAGCCTCATGCATGCAAGGCAAGCATTCTACCACTGAGCCACCTTCCCAGTCCTGTATATATTTTTAATTGTAAAAATACTGTACAGAGGGGTTATAGTTACGTTGGTAAGGTAATGAGTACATTTCCTATCAAGCGTTTTCACCTCCTCCTTTGTTTTTCCCCACCATCCCTTCCCGCCCTGTGTATATTCTTTAGAATACTAACAAAATACTTTATGAATAAAAAAAAAATGAATCCATTAAAATTTGGGGAAAAAAATGGAAGAAGGGTGGGGTGATAGGAGTAATTCAGGGGGAAGACTCAAGATCACTATCATGATATAACTTGATTGAATAGAACCAAAATTCTGGCTGAGTGCATTTTAACTAGGATCTTTCTGTTTTAATTTTTATTTTTGTTAGTTGTGAGGCTTGAACTCAGGGCCTGGGCACTGTCACTGAGCTTTTTTCTTTTTTTTTTTGTCGGTCATGGGACTTGAACTCTGGGCCTGGGCGCTGTCCCTCAGCTCTTCAGCTCAAGGCGAGCGCTCTACCACTTGAGCTACAGTCCCACTTCCGGTTTTCTGGTGGTTTATTGGAGATAGGAGTCTCAAGGTCTCTCCTGCCCAGGCTGGTTTTGAACCGCGATCCTCAGATCTCAGCCTCCTGAGTAGCTAGGATTACAGGCGTGAGCCACCAGTGCCCGGCTCACTGAGCTTTTTTGCTCAAAGCTGGCACTCTACCACTTTGTGCCACTACTCTACTTCAGTTTTTTGACGGTTAATTGAAGGTAAGAGTCTCATGAACTTTACTCTGCAAGCTGACTTTGAACCATGATTTTTTTAGATATCAGCCTCTTGAGAAGCTAGGACCATAGGCATGAGGTATCTGCAGCTGGCCCACCAATATCTCATCAAGTCTTAGATACTTTTCCTGTGTCTCTCATAGTTTCTAGGGCATAGATGTTTTCAGTAAACATTTGTTGAAGTGTTAGGATCAAAAAGGCAAAGCTGATGGTTAAGATTTAATTCTAGGGCTGGGAAGGTGGCTCAGTGGTAGAGTGCTTACCTTGCATGTATGAAGCCCTGAGTTTGATTCCTCAGCACCACATAAGCAGAAAAAGCTGGAAGTGGTGCTGTGGCTCAAGTGGTAGAGCTCTAGCTTTGAGCTGAAGAGCTGAGGGACAGCGTCCAGGCCCAGAGGTCAGGCCCCATGACTGACCAAAAAAAAAAAAAAAAGGGCTGGGAAGGTGGCTCAGTGGTAGAGCGCTTGCCTTGCATGCATGAGGCCCTGGGTTCAGTTCCTCAGCACCACATAAGCAGAAAAAAAAAAGCTGGAAGTGGCCCTGGGCTCAAGTGGTAGCGTGCTAGCCTTGAGCTGAAGAGCTGAGGGACAGCGCCCAGGCCCAGAGTTCAGGCCCCACGACCGGACCCTCCCCCCCCCAAAAAAGAATAAAAACAACTATTAGGGATGTATTTTAACATCAGCCTGCTTTTATATATATTTTATTATCCTAAGGGATGCGATTCTATGTGTTTATTGTCTTTCCAGTAGAGTTGCTTTAACAATTATTGGGTTGAGGAAGTGGTACTGTGGCTCAAAGTGGTAAAGCATTAGCCTTGAGTGAAGGAACTCAGAGACAATGCCCAGGCCTGAGTTCAAGCCCCATAATGGACCAGAAAGAAAAAGAAATGTATGAGCCAGGCATTGGTGGCTCACACCTGTAATCCTAGCTCCTCAGAAGCCTCAAATCTGAGGGGTCCATAGCCAGCCTGGGCAGGAAAGTCCATGAAACTCTTTTTTTTTTCCTTTTGGCCGGTGGTGGGGTTTGAACTCTGAGTGCTCTACCATTTGAGCTACAGCGCCACTTCCGGTTTTCTGGTGGTTTATTGGAGATAAGAGTTTCACGGTCTTTCCTGCCCAGGCTGGCTTTGAACCGAGATCCTCAGATCTCAGTCTCCTGAGTAGTTAGGATTACAGGCGTGAGCCACTGGCTACCAGCTCCATGAGACTCTTTTTATCTCCAATTAACCACTAGAAAACTGGAAGTGGCGCTGTGGCTCAAGTGGTAGAGCGCTAGCCTTGAGCTGAAGATCTGAGGGACAGCGCCCAGGCCCAGAGTTCAGGCCCCATGACCGGTGCGCAACACACACACACACACACACACACTATATATATATATATATATATACATACATATATATATAATGTATGAAATATATAAACTTATATATAAATATATAACATTATCACATATATACACACACACACATGGTTGAGGTTATTGTTTAGTGGTAGAGCATTTGCCTGGCATGTACAAGGCTAAATACATAAATAAGTAAAGAATTACTAGGTATTAAACTGGAGACTACCTTTTGAAGACTTAAGGAATGAAAAAAAATATAAATAAGAATTACAGTTTCTTTTTGTTGTTAGTTATGGGACTTGAACTCTGGGCGTGGGCTCTGTCCCTGAGCTCTTTTTCTCAAGGCTAGTACCTTAGCATTTTGAGCCACAGCCCCACTTCTAGTTTTATGATAGTTAATTGGAGATAAGAGTCTTCAAGAGGGCTGGGAAGGTGGCTCAGTGGTAGAGCACTTGCCTTGCATGCTCGAGGCCCTGGGTTCGATTCCTCAGCACCACATAAGCAAAAAAGAAAAAAGCCGGAAGTGGCGCTCTGGCTCAAGTGGTAGAGTGCTAGCCTTGAGCTGAAGAGCTGAGGGACAGCGCCCAGGCCCAGAGTTCAGGCCCCTTGACTGGACCCAAAAAAAAAAAAAAAAGAGTCTTCAAGACTCTCATTGCCTCTGTTGGCTTTGAACCAAAATCCTCATATATCAGCCTCTTGATTGGCTGGAATTACAAGTCTGAGGTACCAGCACTGGCTTTTTCTTTTCTTTTTAGTCTCTTCTCTTTTGATTCTGGAGATCGAACCCAGGTGTTGCACTTTCTAGGCAAGCAACCTTGCTACTGAACTACATCCCCAAAACAGCAACTGCAGTACTGCGAATGTATAGTAGAGCACACAGACCTAAGCATAGTAAAGATCTGTTAACTGTTAACAATGTCACTTCTGGGTGTTTTTCTTGAATTGCTTACCAATTTATATTCCCATTAGAAGAATGTGGGGATGTTTTCATGTTTTTGTTTTTTGTGGTTCTTAGGTTTGAACTCAGGGCCTCAGTCTTGCTAGATGGATGCTCTACTATTTGAGCCACACTCCCAGACCTGTGGGAACCTGGTTACCTTTGTTCCCACACTTAATTTGTCTTTTTAACTCTTATTCTTTCAATTTACATTTCTGTTCAATTTATCCACAGCTTAATTATATGTTTATTCTTTAGTCATGTACTGGGATTTGAACTCAGAACCTCAAACTTGCTTGGCTTTGCTTGCTCAGACTTGATGCCTGTCTCTTGGAATTTTTGTCCTGGCTGACTTCAAACTACCATCTTCTAGATCTCAGCCCTCCTGAATAACTAGTATTACAGGGTATATGTTTTAGGCAACTGATTAAAATGGTTTTTGTTACATCTAGTTTCTATTACATTAAAGAAATTATTTCTTCAATGATAGGAGATTTCATAAAAATACAATGAAAATTGAATTATTAGTGAGAACTTATTATTTGAGTCATCTTTATCATTCCTCCTTGATTTATAATATATTTTGGTATTATAACAAACCCATTTGTCATTTGTCAGATGCATACTTCTACTGGAGGAGGGTTTTGTGACTGTGGAGACACAGAGGCGTGGAAAACTGGCCCTTTTTGCTTAAGTCATGAGCCTGGAAGAGCAAGTATTACAAAAGAGGTAGGAATACTTAAACTTACTGAAATTAGATAAACTATTATGACTTCTTTTTTTTTGGGTCCGGTCGTGGGGCCTGAACTCTGGGCCTGGGCACTGTCCCTCAGCTCTTCAGCTCAAGGCTAGCACTCTACCACTTGAGCCATAGCGCCACTTCTGGCTTTTTTCTTTTTGCTTATGTGGTGCTGAGGAATCGAACCCAGGGCCTCGAGCATGCAAGACAAGCGCTCTACCACTGAGCCACCTTCCCAGCCCCATGGCTTCTTTTTAGAATTCCAGTATTTTGTTCCAATATTTAAATGTAAGTAAGCTTTTTTTTTACTCCAAAGAATATAAAGATTTGGTAAGCTCTCCCTAAAGAGGGAATGAATTCACAAAAACTAAATTCAGGATACTTGTTAAGCAATCAAATGAATCAAATAATACACCTTATTCTTCTTGATAAGAATATGTATAAGCCTGAAACAACAAAGGGAAGCATTAAGTATATGAATGTATAAGTAAAGTAGGTTAAATTGATATCTTTTACTTGCAGAAAACTTGAGGATTACGGGCAGGCATTACCACACTGGGCAAAGTGATTATTTTGAATAGATAACATTGTCTTCCTTCATTCATACAGTGAGACTAAAAGAGGATATTCTTAGGATCATAAAGGCTCAAAAGATGTGGGCATATGATCATATAAAATGATATTTATCAAAATGAACTCCAAGAAGTAGAAACAAGAGGTTTGGTTATTTTGCTTCTTTTTTTTCCCCCCCTTTGTCACTGTTTTTGATTTCTGTACCTTTTGCCTTGTATATAAATTTATCCATTTGATGGTGGGGGAGCACAGAGTAATGGTGAACAAATGCAACAGTGATTCTCACTAGATACTATGCTGAAAATGAGCTACACAATTTGTGAAGGGAGGGGCGTTGGGAGAGCAAAACTGAGGTAAGAGGTGACATTGTTCAGAAAAAAATGTATTTATTATCTGACTTCTATAACTGTAACCCCCCCCTACATCACCTGTACAATAATAATTTTTAAAAAAGATTGTCTTCATCTGTTTATTTGTATACAATTTTGGTTAGCATGTTTCTCTCTGCTTTCTCACAGAATCCACGTTGTCCATTGAATGAAGAGGTAATTGCTCAAGCCAGGAAAATATTCCCTTCAGTGATAAAATACATTGTAGAAATGACTATATGGGAAGAAGAAAAGGAATTGCCTCCTGAACTGCAGATAAGGTGGGGAAAATGGGCGAAAGGGCTAGGCTTAAGTGATGGCTATTTTGCAAAGTAGGTGTTGGTTAGATGTTTTTGTTGTTATTTATTGCTTATTATTATGAAAAATATTTTGTAGCTTATCTTGGGAATATATATATATATATTTTTTTTTTTTTTTGTTTTGTTTTGTTTTGTTTTGAGGGGGTTTGAACTCAGGGCTTGGGCACTGTCCCTGAGCTCTTTTGCTCAAGGCTAGTGTTCTACCACTTTGAGCCACAGCACCACTTCTGGTTTTTGAATGGTTAATTGGAGATAAGAACCTCATTGGGACTTTTCTGCCTGGGCTGGCTTTGAACTGCAATCCTTAGATCTCAGCCTCCTGAGTAATAAGGGTTACAGGCATGAGTCACCAGCGCCTGGCTTTGGGAATATTTTTTACGTGTTTGCATGAAAAACTAGAGGAAAAACAAGGAAAAGGTGATAGAAATCTTTTTAGAAATTTTGTATTGGTGAACTTAATCTGAGCCATCTGCCTGCCCAAAACAGGACTCTTGTTTGAATATCATTGTGTTAAGTAGGTGGTACTGGTTTTTGGATCTATGGGTCTGAGAGCTATTCTCTGTCACTGCTTATCAAAGAAGTTTAACCCCTCTGAGCCTATTTCCTACACTCTAGAAGTCTGAGAAAATGTCTGTAAAGTTAGGAGATCAACAGAAAAGTCATAAATGACTTCAGGCTGATTATATATGTAAAGCCCATAGCAGCTCTTTTTACTACTGAATTGTGCTCTTTTTAGAGGTGAAAAAGGCATCATCTTCTCAGTGGGATTAAGAGGATAAGTGACCTGTCTAAGGTCCTGAAGCTAAATTGTGAGAGCTGCTATTTACATACACTGAAAACAAAACAAGTGGTTCCATAACAATAGGAGATGAACACAAAAATACACACAATAGAATTCATCAGAATCTAAGCATTAATAAAATCTGATATACTATCGTTGCTGGCTTGAAGGTTATGAACCTGAGGCAGATCTCCCTTTGTCTAAATGGAAGATAAGCAAAAGTTAAGAGTGGTCTTTATGATACATTACTATTGAAATGAGACTTCTGAAAGTAGTAAGGAAAATTGGAGGGGAAAAAACATGGAAAAAGTAACATTTTTATTAATGTTTTTATTTTATTTATTTTTTTGGAGGCTACATCTCAGTGTGTTGGCCAGGCTAGTCTCTATCTAGTGAATCAAGTGATTCTCCCTTCTCAGCTTCCCTAGTGGCTAGAACTACAGGCATGTACCACCATGCCTGAATAGTTCTTTAAAAAAATTCCCTTGTTATTAAAACACTTAAAATCATTTAATGTATCAGTATTACAGTGTTACAGTGTTTCCCACGTTTTGCTGTAATACAAATGTCATATGCTACTTTGTTGTATTTTTAATATTTTCCTTTAATTGTTGCAGTATTTACATCTATGTATCTTTTTATTAAAAAAAAAACAGGGAGAAAAATGAAAGATACTACTGTGTCCTTTTCAATGATGAGCATCATTCCTATGACCATGTCATATACAGTCTACAAAGAGCTCTTGACTGTGAACTTGCGGAGGCCCAGTTGCACACCACTGCCATAGACAAAGAGGTTTGTGGTTTCTGTGTGGTTTATGCTGCTGCCCTTTATTAGCATCTTACTAGTTAGGTGCTCACTGGATTCTTGTCATGTGCCTTAGCATTGTGTTGGTACAGCTATCCTCTCTATTTATTCCTTATGGCTTGAGTAAATTGGTTAGAATTTTTATTTTTATTATTTTAATTTTTTTAGTTTAATTTTTTAATTTTTTTGTCCATCATGGGGCTTGAACTCTGGGCTTGGGCACTATCCCTCAGCTCTTCACCCCAAAGCAAGCGCTCTACCTCTTGAGCCACAGCGCCACTTCCTGTTTTCTAGTGTTTTTTTAATTGGAGATCAGAGTCTCACGGACTTTTCTGCCTGGGCTGGCTTTAAACCGTGATCCTCACATCTCAGCCTCCTGAGTAGCTAGGATTATAGGCATGAGCCCCTGGCACCCGGCAGAATTTTTATTTTATATGTCAAAGTTTCATAGTTTTAGTTAACTCTTTATTAACTTGTCATTCTAAATAATTAGAAAGTTACTGAATATATTTAACAAAGCATAAGTAAAAAGTATCATCTTGGACTGTGCAGGTGGCTCAGTGAAGTCCTAGGTTCAATTCCTCAGCACCACATAAGCAGAAAAAACCAGAAGTGGCACTGTGACACAAGTGGTAGAGTGCTAGCCTTGGCTGAAGAGCTGAGGGACAGCGCTCAGGCCACATGACCGGGGAAAAAAAAGTATCACCTTACATTACTCTCTTCCTAAAGTTTATTGAATTTATTAATCGCTGGAGTTATGAAATGTTCATCATTTTTCAAGTTTTTAACCTGATTTGTTTCTTATTTTTAGAATAAAGCATTTCTGTAGTGTAGCTTTTATTTGATATGCATTCAAAACAAATAGTTCTTCAGGAGGCACAATTGCCTAATAAGGAACATTAACTTGGGGCTGGGAAGGTGGCTCAGTGGTAGAGTGCTTGCCTTGTATGCGTGAGGCCCTGGGTTCGATTCCTCAGCACCACATAAGCAAAAAGAAAAAAGCCGGAAGTGGCGCTGTTGCTCAAATAGTAGAGCACTAGCCTTGAGCTGAAGAGCTGAGGGACAAGGCCCAGGCACAGAATTCAGGCCCCACGACCGGACCAAAAAAAAAGGAACATTATGCCTTTTTTTTTTTGGTCAGTTGTGGGGCCTGAACTCTGGGCCTGAGCACTGTCTTTCAGCTCTTCAGCTCAAGACTAGCCCTCTACCACTTGAGCCACAGTGCCACTTACAGCCTTTTCTGCTTATGTGATGCTAAGGAATTGAAGCCAGGGCCTCAAGAATGCAAGGCAAGCATTCTACAACTGAACCACCTTCCCAGCCCCCTTGTTTATTTAGTTATTTATTTTTTATTGGTCCTGGGGCTTGAACTCTAGGCCTGGGTGCTGTTCTTCAGCTCTTCAGCTCAAGGCTACCACTCTACCACTTGAGCCACAGCACCACTTTTGGTTTTCTGAGTGATTTATTGGAGATAAGATTCTCACAGACTTTCCTGCCTGGGGTTGGCTTTGAACCATGATCCTCAGAT